GGAAGACTGTTATTATCAAAAAAAAAATTGGCTGAAAAAAATGTGTATTTTTTTTAAATAACTAATTATAAAATGGGAGAACTGTTAAAAAGTGCAATTTTAAACGGAGCTGAAATTGTTGCATTCGGTGGAAATAATACGAGACGATGCATACGCAGCTACCACATCTCCAACTATAAGCTCTTTATCATCAGTGCTCTCTGTTTTGACTAGGTCTTGCTTGTAATGTATCAGAACTGTTTCTTCGTTTATGTTATGTGACGCAAACCTCCCAATACATCAACAAAATAAATTTACCAGGAGTGGGGTTCGAACCCACGCGGACATATGTCCATTGGATCTTAAGTCCAACGCCTTAACCACTCGGCCATCCTGGTATATACACCGTACCCCAACGCATCCCCACACTTGTAAAACTCAACACATCCAAATACCGTTAATCATCATTTATTCTAGACCTAGTCATCAAATTGGCACAAAGGTAGCAATGCATAGCAGCGTAAGCCGGCGACATAAACAATAGCAAACAAACATACTGGATTAAACATTTGACACTACCGCTGCTAGTAGCTAGCAGCTAAGTCATTCACTGTCATGCTAACGACAAGCTCGACCTCAAAAGCTTGAAATAAAACTACCACTATCCTTAAGGTGGCTTGTATTTACAAAAACAAAACTAAAGTATACACACATATATATATACCAGCTCGCATACTTGGGTTAATTGCTTCCATTCCATTCGAATTCCTGTGAACCGCTCTCTCAAATTAGAACCCGCTTAATAACGTTAGCGTATGCTAACCCGTAGCAGAAGTTATAGCAGGCGTACAACTTCTATATTGTAAATACACAGTAGCGTGTTTAGCTGCACATTGCAGCCAAACGAAACCTCGAAGCAAAGCGAAACACCGATACCGCACAACGAATCTCTAAATTACGAAGTCACGGAGAATAAGTTGCCAAATAAAGTCCGTAGAAACTTCGGAGACTGAATGACAGCTAGTCTTGCTAGGTGTACGTAGATCTGAGTGTGTGGGACATTAACGGGACAGGCGCCATCAGGGATATTTCATTCTATATTTGAAAAACGAAAAGAAAACACAAAAAAAAAAACACAAAAAAACTATAGTATAGGGCCACATTAAGAAAAAAATAAATATTATTGTTCATGAACAATATTTTATTTTGACAATACATTTTGACCATAAAGATGAAATTTCGAGACTGAACTCGAAATGTTATTTTGAGATTAAACTGGTTTGAAAATAAAATCGAAATACTGCTAACTGGTACGGAAATTATACTTTGAATTTTGATCATACATAAGCTATTATGCATAGTTTTAAAAAGCAAAAAGCGGTTAGACGTGCACACAGTCTGACTCCAACTGGCCGAGATAGGAAAGTTCAGTTTGGCATCTAGCTTGTTAAACAGTTTGTGGAGTAGAAACTGACTGCATCTATTCACATGGCTGTTGTTGCCTTGTCTTGTGCACTGAGCTATTCTTGAAATAACTACAGGATTTAATTCCACAAAGTTCCAAATATTATACAAAGATTCAGGGTTCGTTTTTCACATTTTTTTGCAGATTTCCAGCAATTATTTTCTCAAATAACAGCTAATGCTCGATCTTACATTCAAAGATGAAATTTAAATTGAAATACTAAGTGTTAATAGGTAAATCTAAATATTACATTTAAAGCTTAGGATGCTGACCAGACCGGATAAGCTGAAGAAAA